TTCAGTAGGTTTTGTACCTTGATTATACTGGGGTCTTCTATTGCTTTTCTCAAGCCTAGTTAGTATCTTTATGACTGTTGGTTTAAATTCTGGCTCAGGCATATTACTTATATGTGTTTTGATTCGATCCCTGGCTATGACCTCATTTGTTCTTTATTTTGGGGTGAATTCCTCCACCTTGGTATTGTATCTGGGTCTCTGTCTTCTGTGTGTTAGGAAAACCTATTATATTTCCTGCTCCTGAGAGTAATGTCTATATTAAGAAGAAGTCCTATACTGTCCGCTTCAGGAAGTGTTTCTGGTGGATACTGTGTGCACTCCACTATTGTGTTTTGGCTGCACTTTCCCTCTGGTCAGTCCTCTGCACAGTTTCTCTTTGCCTGCATGAGAATTGTCTGGACCTTGTCCGTTGTGTGGCAAGTTTTAACGAAGTGTGCTTTGGTCTGCTTATTACAAAGAGGTAGATCCTATTTCCCCCAGAGCTGAAGCTTTTAGCATTCTACGATCAGATTTGGTGGACGCAGGGGTTTGTAAATATCTTCTGGGGTTGGGGCCCGCTGCTGCTCTCTCAGGCCCTAGTTCACAAGCACGTGTGGAGAGCAGGGGATGAGGCTTGGTGTAAATAGTTCAAGCCTCCATGCTACTCAGTGAAGTCCATCCATACTAATGGGCAGGAGTAAAAATGGCATCAGCTGGCTCTCTCCTCCCAGAGAGGAGAGTTCATGCCCGCTACTCTTCAGGAAGCCCTCAAAGAAGAGTGAACAATCTCCTCTAATTTGCTGCAGACATCCATCAGATCCCTGCCTTCACCCTATGTCCAAGCCATCTGCCCACCCAGCAGTGCAGTGCTCCTGTGTTTTACATCAGGCATGCCAGATGTGTTTCATATCTCCAAATCTTAGGGACAGGGCACAGCACAGACCTGTGTTGATCCTCTGAGGGAGGGTCTTGCTGCACTGTGGCTCGTGCCCATTTGCCCCAGAAGGGCAATCACATGAACGCAAAGGGGCTTGGAGTGTATGGTAAAGTGAAGCAAAAAGCTGGCATCCAATTAGCTGCCCTCAGCAGGTGTCTCTGATTGTATGCTAATAAATGGGGCAGTTCAATGGCACCCACTAGCTCTGTGGTGCCTGGAGAGGCAGTGCCACCTCTCCCAAATGCACTCCAGGAAGGGGAACTGTCTCTCCCAGTGTGACTCAAGGGATCCTGAGACCATTCTGTTCACTTCTGGTCCCTCTGCCCTCCTTATCCACAGAAGCACCACTATGCCCACCAGGCTCCACCCAGCAATGGCAGAGACTTCTTTGAGCTCTGTGGCTTGTAAAAACTTGCAATCATCAGCCCATTTCGTTTTGCCTGCCAACGGTTTTAGGGAAGTACTTTTCTTGTGCAATGCCATGCCCTCTGTTCTTTCTGTCCCTCTCTCTCCCTCCCTCTCTCTCTTATTCTCTCCCTCTCCCTCCCTCCCTCATCAGGGATCCCTCCCCTCTGCAGCACTGGTGATTCTTTTCTCCCCCAAATCACTTATCTTCTCCCTTCCACAATGTGGCCTCTTTTCTCCTTCTAGTTGTACAGTTTGTTCTCTCAGTCCTCAGATCAATTTCATGGGTATTCAGAATGATTTAATATTTTTCTAGCTGTGTTTGAGGGATAAGGCAAGCATAGGGTCCTCCTACTACTCTGCTGTCTTAACTCCTCCTCCAATATTCTCAAAATCTGACAAAGGACTTGTAATAAGAATATATAATGAACTACAATTAAATAATGTTTTGGAAGTCAATCTAATTGGGTGACTGGATGGCTCAGTCAGTTAAGTGTTTGACTTTAGCTCAGGTCACGATCTCAGGATTCATGGGTTTGAGCCCTACATTGGGCTCTCTGCTGTCAGTGTAGAGACTGCTTCAGATCCTCTGTCTCCCTCCCTCTCTGCTCCTTCCCTACTTGGGCGCTCTCTCTTTCAAAAATAAATGGACATTAATAAAAAGTCAATCCAATTAAAAATAAGACTTAGGGGCGCCTGGGTGGCGCAGTCGGTTAAGCGTCCGACTTCAGCTAGGTCGCGATCTCGCAGTCCGTGAGTTCGAGCCCCGCGTCGGGCTCTGGGCCGATGGCTCAGAGCCTGGAGCCTGTTTCCGATTCTGTGTCTCCCTCTCTCTCTGCTCCTCCCCCGTTCATGCTCTGTCTCTCTCTGTCCCAAAAATAAATAAAACGTTGAAAAAAAAAATTTAAAAAAAAATAAGACTTAACCAAACAGTCACAAAAGATAAAAGAATTGCCAATAAGCCAATAAAATTCTCAACATTACTAGTCATGGAGGAATAGAAATTTAATTCACCATAAGATAATTAGCTAAAATTAGAAGACTGAAACACGGGTCATTACCACAGATTTAGAATAACCAGAACTCTCATATTGTGTGTAGGAATATAAAACAGTACAATCCACTTTGAGAAGAAATATCGAAGTCTCTTACAAAATTAAACACACCATTATTTTGGAGTTTCTAACAAGACAAAGAGGCATATAAAATGAAACAAAAGGCATTCCGATTGGAAAGGAAGAAGTAACGGCATGACCCTGTATATAGACAATCCTCAAGAACCCATAAGAAACTGAAGAGCTAATGAAGGAGCTCAGCAAGGTTGTAAGATACAAGGTAAAGAAACAAAAATACATTTTATTTCTATATACTAGCAATGAATAATGCAAAAATGAAATTAAGGAAATAATTCCATTTACCATAGTATCTCACAATAAATTTAAAATACCAAAGACATACACTATACAACACTGTTAAAAGAGGTTAAAGAAAATCTAAATAAATAAAAACATCGTATTAATGAACTGGGAGACAAAATTGTTAACGTTGCAATATCCAAAACCAGATTTATAATCTATTGTATGATTTGCAATCATTTAGGGGACTCACACCACACAGCACAGTAATCAAGATAGTGTGGTACTGGCATAGGACAAACATACATACCAATGGAACAGAATTGAGAATACAGAAAATAAACCTTCACAGTTATGGTCAGTTCATTTTGACAAAGGTGCCAAGACAATTCAATGGGGAAAGAATATTCTTTTTAACAAGTGGTGCTGTGACAACTCAATATCCACATGTAAAAGAATGAAGCCCTACCTCAAATCATATACAAAAATTAACTCAGAATGAACCATAGAGCTAAATTTAGGAGGTAAAACTCCTAGAAAAAACCAAAGCAATCAATCTTTGTGACCTCAGACTGGACAACTGATTCTTACACACGACATCAAATGATGATGAATGAAGAAAAATTTCAGAATGATACCTATAGCCTGACCCCTTTGAAATAAAGCTTCAAAATATTCAAAAGCAAAGTAATTATTATGAATGGACACACACATATGTAGAATAAATATACAAACACCTAGCATAATCAATTTCCAAAGAGTGGTTACTTTTAGAGAGGTGAGGATTGGAGGGGAGCAATACAAAAAGATAATTAAGGGTAATCTTTAATTTCTGGAGAACAAACTCAAACAGAGAAAGTATAATGTTAATATTCAATAAAAGGGGTACAGCTATACTCATGTACTTTAATGAATATTTGAAATACTTTACAATTTGACAAATTATGTTTTTAAAAGTCGAGACATTCTTAGTATGATCATTAATTTCCAGTACAACAGAGAGTAAAAATTAAGTAAAAATTGCTTTGGGAATAAACACCATTATTAGATCCTTTGTCATTGCCTTTATTCAAAATGGAGCACAAAGTACACGCCCCTAGAATGATTACTGGAATTTTCCACTTGTTTGTATTCTATACAGATAGTTGCGGCTTATGTTTATTTTAGTAAATTCTTTTTTCTCTCTCTACTCCTAAATTTGTTTTCATCCAATTTTCCCAAGCTAAATATCTTCCTTTTGTTTTTTTCCTTTCCCTAGATTTGTATTTCCTTTCCTAAGCAACAATAAAACATTATTTTCTTTTCCATTTGCTCATAAATCAAACAGTACATTTCCTTGTTTGGTTTTTCACTTTCATCTACATGTTTGGTTTGCTTACATTTTTTTTTTCTGCATTATGCACTTTTCCCAAGTAATTTTCCCAATGCACAAGCTTCCAGGTGTTAACAAGCTACTTTTTTATAGGGAGAAGGCTTGCTCATTTAGGCCTATCGGGAAGATGTGTATGCAGATGGAGAGTTAACAATAACCACTGTTGATTTAAAAGGGTACCAATCCCTCCACCCATGTTCCTCTGAAGTGGCCAATAGACCCTGAGGGCTGTGGGGAAGAAGGCTGCAAAGCTGCTGCCATTTTTAGAGTCAGGTGAATGCCATAGGCACTGGGCCTTCTCTTCCTGGAGCTCGCTCAGTGCTAAAGAGTCCAGACGAACACATGGCTCAAGACACAGGGGACAAGAAAGAGGAGCCTCCTGTCATCTTTTCTTCCCAGCCAACAATAGTTGTCATTTACTGAGACCTCTACAGCCAAACAGTCTTCTAGGCACTCAGTGCCATTTAATTTAACCCCTAATTCCCCATGAGAGAGGGAAATTATCATCTCTACAGACAGGGCACTGGGTAGAGAAGTCAAGCAATATAAGCAAGGTCACATAGCTTAGTGACCTGGCTGGTAGAGCCAAGATTCACATCCACCTGTGGCTCATGGCAAAAGCCCTGACGCTTGCTACACGTAGCTTCTTCCCTTTCTGAATGCTGCAGGGTGTGAGCAGTCCAAGTTTTTAGTGAGAGTTGTCCTCCCTCCCAACCCACCACGCAACCTACCTCCTGTATTTATACTCAAGACGGGGCAGTGTTTAAATCCTCAAGCAAACAATTTGATTCCTCAAGTATGACATTATGAAAAGTCAGCAGTTTCACAAAGACATATATACACAGTCTGTATGCATGTCCAGGTGTGTTTGGAGGGGCAAGGATGGCTACGTGCTGTAATACTGAAAGAGCCCCTCCAGGAACAAAGCCCCAGCTGAGTAATGGAGGCATACCTGAATAGGATCCTGCGTCAGTCTCATGGGCCCAATGCGTACCTCCGCAGAAGAAACCTGCTAAATAAAGGACAAAACATGAGATGTGTCGAGGCAAACTACCAGGAGTGACGAATTCTTCCTTCCTCAGAGTATTACATTATGCCACTTTATAGACCCTAACTGTAAGGATTCAGTTTACTGACATGGAGAAAGTAAAACATCACACACAGCATAATCCTGGTTTTGTGTAAGAATATATACATTTATACGTGCTGAAAATGTCTTGGAGGGATAGCATCAAATATGAAGTAGTGGATTTCAGGTTGTTTTTAAGTATGGGTTTTTATAATAAACAAGTACCGTTTTATGGGAGAAAAACATTATTTTCTGAGCACCTACTATGTGCTCGGCACCATGCTAGACAATTATTATTCTGAAATCTTGAGTACAAGTTTTTCTTAAATGTGAGAACTACAACATCTCTATGGTTTTAAGATCTGTTCCTTTATTTAGATCTTCATTTCCTTATCTTCATTTTATATGAGGAATAAACAGCTTACTCTTGCCCATGTTTACCATGAATAAACTCATTTCAATTGAACCTCTTCAAATCAACTAAGGAACCCCATAGCATGCCAAGAGGCAAACCGTGATTCACTCCAGGAATGAGCTTAGGTGTTCAGCGGCCAAAGCCATCTCACTGCTTCAGCTGTAAGCATAGAGCAAATATTTGTCTTTAATTACTGTGCTTGGATTTCTAAGAGGGATTTTTCTCTAGATTACTGGACCAAGGGTCTTGGCCTCATGTCTATGGATCCAATTTTGTTTTTGTCCAAGAAGATGTAGTCATTGGAAGTTTATCCTGCAGTCTTGGAAGTTTATCCTGCAGTCTACACACTAGTTCGGTCCCTGTCAATCCTATGGAACACCTTCAGCAAGCATAAAAATCCACAGGGCGGGAAATAACTCAGTAATAAACCAAGGACCAAGACGAGGCTTTATCAGTTAATAACAGCAGAGCTCTCATTATGCTATAATTTTGAAAACTAAAAGTTTCCCTTTCTCCTTTCTTCCTTTTCCTCCATGCTTGATTCCTGGTGGGCATGGTCTGTATCTTCTCCAAAACATGACTGAACTGTTCACACTTTTCTCTTTAAAGTTGATCCCTCAACCCTAGCATCATTGCATGAAGCAAAGCTGCTGGGGGGCTTTGGTCTTTTACCAAACTAGCCAGCATAAAACTCAAAGCCCTCAGATGACAGCTCAAGTGAGGCTCTTGGTCCTCTGTAGTAGGTTCCGCTTGGAAAGGCAGCTTCTGGACAGTGGGTCCATCCAATAGGCCTGGCACACCTCATAACAGCCCAGGGCCTCAAGTTCCGGAACCCATGGACCAGTAACAAGTTCCTTCCATGTTTTCCTGCTACCTTCAGGTCAAAGAACATGAGACCTCATGCTTCTTCCCTTTAGACAAAACAATATACTGCAAAGCGTTACTGCTGGTAGCAGACCCAGCATATATGCACAGCCCCAAGAATGACTCCATTGAAAAAGGACCAGCACCAGACCTCCTGTGTCACTAGGACTCTGCATCCCACCGGCCACCCAGCTCTACCCTAAAAACAGTTTTTAGGGGCCACCGGGATGGCTCAGTTGGTTAAGTGACCAACTTTGGCTCAGGTCACAATCTGTGGTTTGTGAGTTCAAGCCCCACATCAGGCTCTGTGCTGACAGCTCAGAGCCTGGAGCCTGCTTCAGATTCTGTGTCTTCCTCTCTTTCTGCCCTCCCTCATTTACACTTTGTCTCTTGCTCTCTCTCAAAAATAAGCACTAAAAACAAATATTAAAAAATAAATAAAAAGTTTTTGTCTGAACCAGACACGGCCCTTCAAAAGCAGTGTAACTACTAGGATTTTATTTTAAAGCTAATAATTAAGAAGCAAAACCAATTTGGTACAGTAAGATAAATTTGACTGATAATCTAGGGTATCTCTTCATGGTCTCTGTGCCCTCTTTTGGATTTACTGCACCCACCACATATGTAAGCTCTCCTCCAACAGGCCACCTGTGAATGGTTTCTCCAGCAAAACTGGCTCCCAAAGTGGTCATCCAGGGGCAGAAAATAAATGAAATAAGTAGTATAAAGTTTGAAAGGAATAAAATAAGAAGTGACTCACTTTGGAAGGCTAAGGGATAGGGAGAAGGATCCTTGCTGGAAGGGCACAGACCATCCAAATAAATAATTCACTCTTTACCCATACATTTCTTTTTTTTTTTTTTAACATTTATTCATTTTTGAGATTGAGGGAGACAGAGCATGAGCGGGGGAGGGCAGAGAGAGTGGGAGACACAGAATCAGAAGCAGGTTCCAGGCACTGAGCTGTCAGCAAAGAGCACAATGCAGGGCTTGAACTCACAGACCGCGAGATCATGAAGTCAGACGAGCTGAATCAGACGCTTAACCGAATGAGCCACCCAGGTGCCCCATAACCCATACATTTCTGTATAACTTTGTAAATAACCACCATGTGCATGAAGTACTTACATAGATAGCTTGCTTTTTTTTTTTTCTCTGTTGACTAAGAGCTCACAATATATTCCTGATGAAATCTCTCCAGAACAAATCCTGTGGAACAGTGTAATGACTGTTGGCACACAAATGACTAGATTCTCTTCAAGGAAATTATTCTCATTATTGTCTCCTATTCATTTAGGCCCAGAGGACCCAATTACATTTCAGCTTTTTATGTTACTGAATTTAGACATGACACAGGTCAAGTCACTTTTTTACATAGGTCTCTTGGCAGGATAAAAGCCCTGAGAGGTGGCATTTGTGGGTTTTTAATATCAACATTAAAAAGAAAGTCAATTACATTTTCTTTATAGGTAAGGAAATAATGACTCATTTGGAGTAATTCTGAAATACAGTCTTTGCATTATTGTCAACACTGGCAAATCTTTTAAACTATGATCCTTTCTGCCATGCATTTTATGTCTTTAGAAAATACGATGCTTTTGCTGGAACTATCAAATAAGCTCAGTATGTTACCTCCAGGGGACTGCAAGATTTGAACGTACAGGAAGAAGTGTTCTAAAAGGAGGACAAAGACCTTCTCAATGACTTCTGATCACAACTCAGAAGAAGAGGGAAGGAAAAACCCCTGAAGCTTATTACTTCATTGGCATGAGGTAAAATTTTTCATGTATTTTATTTCTTTTATTTTGGGGAGGTAACTATTACTTTATTGCTTTATTTATTTTTGGCGCTAATGAGGTAACAGGCCCAGGGTTGAGAAGGTTGATAGACTGACATGTTAAAATGACTTACATGTTTGGTACAGTGGTATGAGCTTAACAGTATTTTCTCATTTAATTCTCAAAATCCATTTCATTATTTTAGCCACGTGAATTACAATAGGCTAGATTATACTGTGGTATCAAAGAGACCCAAAATCTCAGTGGCCTAATATTATAAAGGTTTATTTTTTTATTCATACCAAATTCACTATGGTGTGAGGCGACCTTCCAAGGCAATTCCTCCTTGTGGTTACGTAGCAGTCCAAGCCAAGAGAAAGGCAGGGGGAAAGTCACAGGAGACTCGGGCATGGGTTTTTAAGGTCTCAGCCTGTAAGTTACACACACTGCCTTCACTCAGCCCAGTGGCCAGACCTGGTCACATGGTCCCACTTCACCATAAGGAGGTGGGAAATCTAAGGAAGCAAATGGGTACAAGTTATACAGGCCTTTTTAAACTTTGCCAAGAGAACATCACAAGATGATGGGAACACTCCTCAAGCCCCCCTCTCTCTGCTAGTGACTCTGCTAGTCACTTTCACAGGAGTGACCTTAGGGGGAGACAGGCAATGGTCACTGAGTAACAGTACATAATTTTCGAATCGACACTCGACCTAGAACATATCCTTTTCTTGCCATGACAGGAAAGACCCTACCGTCTTCTTCTATGGCCCCAAGAGTCCCTGGCCTGCAACCAACATTTTAACCTCGGCCTAACCCAGCTCAGCAGGAAGCTGCCATCTGAGGCAGGGCCCAGGAGAAGTGGTGCAAGTTTGGCCGACCGTCTTCAAGACCCCTGCCTGTCACATCTCTACCCACCTCCTCCCAGCCCTACTTCACTGTAGCACACTCCACCTCCAACACCAGCTGAGGGCCTTGGGTTACCAGCTCCCTTAGTCCTGACCTACACTTAGCTTCCTGTCTCTTGGCTTGCCTTTTCCTTCTTAGTCTGTGCTCCCAGTCATCTGACCTTGGCCTCTGTGTCCAAGCCAGGTCAGCTAGCCCAACAGAACGGCAGAAGGTCTCCTTGCTGGCTCTGAGGGCAGGCGCAAGGCAGAGACCAGCAGAGGTAAACCAGCGGCAGGCATATTCACAGGCGCACCACTTTGCAGAGTGCTGTTTCTAACATGGGAGCCTCACTGCCTACATTTCACCAGTTTGTCAAAGGGTATTTATGAACATCAACAGGAGACCACATACTGATGACTCTGTAACTGAGCCAAGATTCTACACTTCAAAGAGTGAACTCTGAGCAAGTACAGAGGCACACATCCTCAGTTAGTGTATTAGTTCTGAGTCCAGGCAGTCAAGAAGTCTGCCAAGGCCACAAAGCAAGGAAAGGAGGGGGTCACAGGTAGCATAATGCCAGCACCCAGGAGGAGAAGAGGATGAGACAAGAATGCGAAGAGAGACACTTCCTAGCTGCTCTGACCACACTGCTTTCCCCAACGGCCCAGGGAGGAAGGACTGCTGACCGACAGTGCAGATTTAACCATCCAGTGTTTACCACGTGTCAAACACTTGTGTGCACACACGTCCACACATGGTAACAAACACATGCAAATACATGCAGCAGGCTAACCAATTCACAGAAAAGTTGGCTCTCTAGGGGGAAAAAAAGCCCTATTTGTAGCATTTGCTGATTGTGTCGTGTAAATACTTTCACTTAAATTAATCTCAAACTCACACGGTTGGTCCCTGACTGTATCTTTTCATTGTGAATGGAAAGGGTGTGTGAGTGGCAAACTCGATGAGTCTCTGTTGGTCTTCCCATGTCTATCGCTCGC